TCAGGCAATACACCTTCTTCAATTAATTTTGCACGCCTATGAATGCTACTCATTTTTTTAGTAAGCACAGTATACAAAATTTTTGGCGGTGAAGAAGAGCTTGAAGAAGACGATGATGAATTGTCGTTATTATTAATCTTATTGAAGCTATCAAAAGCCTCTTCAATATTTTCTTTAATGCTATTGAGAAATAACTTTTGTCTATTATTTAACTCTTCCATATCTTCCTCTATTCTTTGTAACTTATTCAAAAGCTGAGTAGTGACTCTGACTTGCATTACTGCAAACTCGTCAAAGTCTCTCTTTTTTACCAAATCCCTCATTTCTTGCATAAGAGAGTCAGGTTCATCCTGAGAGATAGTAATTTCAGCAGTATTGTTGTTGCATCTGTTTCTCATAGCTCTCCAAGTATTAGCATTAAGAAAATAATAGTGAAGGAAGAGCATGAAGGCAGAAGATGCGATCGTAGCATGTAAAAGAAAATAATACATCATTGTTTGTATTCTAATAAGACTTGCACCAATAATAATTGAGTGCCAATAATAATTGAGTGCAGCGTAATTAATGTCAGCAATCGAGCCATCTGGAAAAATTACAGAAAAGTGTTCGATATTAATATTATTAATATGACTGATTTGGAAACTTGTTTGTAGTACAAGTACATTTTATACCAAGGAAAATTTGTTTAATTACTTTAAAATTGGTTACACATTTACTGTGCTACTTGCATTATTATTACAATGAACATTTTCGATGCAGGGGTATAACCATGTTCAATTTGTTTTTTTGTCCTTTTACTTGATACTTTCCTTTTACAAAATGACTAGCTGCTGGACTGGTAGAATATTTTTGTACATTCGTCTTGTACATTTGGCACCCCAAAGCTCTGTGTGATAAAGTTTTTCAAAATTGCCCTCATCAGTAAGTAGTTGCTGTTGCAAAGATACATTAAAATATGCTTGATATCTGGATGGCTTATACCAATCAACTATGCATAAATAATGATCAGCAATCCATGTATTAGCACTCTGTGAATTCATTTCCGGCAGCGTCAACCAATGCCTAAAATAATAGACAACCTCTCCTGGGTAATAAGAAACATTATCCTCATCATTCAAGAAACCTGCAATAACACACACATTTAAATCTGACTCAGACAATAAAGATCCAAAAGTTTCATCACCAACACGTAAAGCACTTGCTTGAAAAATAGTTGAAGAGACATAAATACAACTTCCGTCTATATCGTTAATTCCATTACAGAACTTATAGCCACAATCTGCATACACCATCTCATAGTAGTCCTTCAACAAGTCTAACATCCTATCATCTAATTTTGCTTCAAAATAACATCTGCTTAATTCCCCTGGAAAACATTCAGTTCCCGTGACATTTATAGTGCTAAGATGTAGAGACATCTCCTGAAAAGCAAGCATTTCTTCAGCTGAAAAATTGTAATTCCTTAGGGTTCCTCTTCCATTATTAATGGGTGAACAAAGTGAGTTGATCAATACTACAATATCATGTGGAAATTCGTTTGATGCTGTGGTAAATGCATGTGCCACATTAACCTGATGGTTAATTCTTGTCATCACCTCTATCTCCATTGATTGGCTCGAGTTTGGTTGTAGGACAAGATCCCTTAGAATTATAAAAGTCATAATGTCAGATGAGATGAGATAATAATAGACTGCAAAACAATAGTTTCTTATTTACCCATTCATATGCTCATAGGCAAAACACCAGAAGCTATAAAAAGGTCCATAATTGATGATGCATTCTCGCAAGTGTGTATGAAAGTGCATATTAGGCGTGATAAGATGCTCACCATATAAGTTTTCTGCTTCGTGTAAAAAAGCTAACATATGCTCTTCGCCCTGGTCTACTTCATTAATGGTCACTATTCTCTGACTCCATAATGTAACACACCTGACAAAATGCTGCCAGCACCACCTATTGTCTTCTTCGAGAATGTCACATAAAGCACATGTTGAATATACCAATACCCACGTTTTCCATTGATCGGCAGTAAAGCCTGCAAATCCTGATGCAATCTTGTGCGGAATTCGACCAATATCTGATGGTACGGGTATTGAGTCAATGATCCTCTGAATTGACTTTAATTGTTTGTTGTTGATTCTGTCCGTGGATAACCATGCCTTTTCTAACATTCTTTTTGAGGTTCCAAGGAAAAGGTTATGCATAGGATCAATGCATGTAAAGTGAAAGGCATCGAAGTAAGGTAACTGATGTAGTTCAGACCACCTAATTCCGTATTTATTGAAGATATTCTGACGTTCTGCCTTGTTACCGTGAATCTGTAAGCATATGCTAATGCTTTGTATTCATCTATATTTTTCCTTGGATATACAGAATAGAAATCACTGTAATTTAGCTTGGATGAGGTTTGAAAACATTTAAATACCTGAGTACACTTGTAGCAGGCAAACTTTGAAGAATGTCCTGCAAATCTGCAAATCTGCATTTAAACATATTTAAACATATTTATATTAGTAAGTATAATTGAAAAA